TCCTTTTAGAAAAATGTAGTAATTAATGATATAAAATGTGTTTTTCTATCTTGCGCTTGATTTTTTTATAAGATCTTTGGTGGTAATATTTCTCAAATAAAGTACAATTGTTTTGACTTTGACTATTATATGCCAAATGGGACTTAAAGAATTATAATCAAAACTATGGTTAACGTGTATTTGTTAGAAGATTAGAAAAGGTATTTTGGTTATTCTTTTTAAATATTTATTTTGAGATATCCAACTTTTGATGGATGACTTCAGCTGACATCTGTTCTTGCAGTATTAAATTAGGGAAAAATGTTTCTCCTTGAACTATATCTATCTATCTAATATTTACATTTTTATAAAATTTTAATATTTATGAAGTAGAACAAAGGAACAGTGGTCTCTAGGACTAATTTAATGCCTGAGTTACACTTTGATATCAGCATCACCAAAGCATGAATCTGTGGATGAAACTGCATCTTAAAAGAATTATGGCTATGAAGTTGATTTACAAATCATCTGTTTTAATAGCTTAGAGTTTAATAGTTTATAAGAATTATGTAAACAGAGTTAGATATAATAAATTAAACAAAATTAAAGCAGAAAGCTCATCTATGAAATCATTTTTCTATAATCACTACCTAATGGAATTACTATAGGAAAACCAAATCTGTTTGCTAATATTGAACATCCACCTAAAGATTTGGGAGTCAGAAGTGGCAGCATTCAGTGCTTTGATTAATTAGTATGCCTAGTACAGAGCCTGGAATGTCATGAATGATATATGAGACTGAGGGAATTTTTACTAAGTCTTAATCTCTGATTTAATGGCGTAAGATAGTTGGTTTCTGTTTGAAAATTAGGGAAAACATTTGGCAGTACTGAAAAATGCTAACACAGTGACAATGCATTCATCCTTCAGTATCCATGGGGGATTGGTTCCAGGACTCCTGAGGATAACCAAAATCTATGGATGCTGAAGTTCCTTAAATTAAATGGCATAGTATTGCATATAACCTACACCTATCCTCCTCACATATACTTTAAATAATCTCTAGCTTACTTATAATATCCAATACAAGGTAAATGCTATGTAAATAGTTATACTATATTTTTTATTTGTATTATATTTTATTGTTGTATTGTTATTTTATATTGCTATTTTTTCCCCAATATTTTCAACCCATGTTTGGTTGAATCTGTGGATTCAGAACCTGTGGATACAGAGGGCCAACTGTACTAACAAGAAACTCAATTTGTCCCATTAATTCAACAGAGGATGATTGTGAAAAGTAATCGAGAAAATTTGGATGTGTCATTCTATTAATTTTCCCTTCTTGATCAATATTTGAGTTCTATTTACTCAGTTTCTAATCACTCTAACACAGAACTTTAATGATTCTCAAAATGCTAGGTTTATATGTAATCATTTTAAAGAAATTTATTGTAAAGTAAGAGTTTATGGGGAAGAACTTTGATTCAGTGAATAACTATTGAAAGCTATTGAAGTCTTTAACATAAAACATTCATTTTAGTTTGTTTTTAAATTATGTTTTGACATGAATCTCTTCTAATATTATGTGTAAATTTTTTGTAATTTAATTATCAATAAATTTCTAATATAGCCTGTTAAAATTTCTAATAAATCTTTTAGTTCTTAAGGGATCCCAATAAACATAATTAATTTATGTTCATCTGTGAGTAGATATCATTATTTATCAATCTTATATTTGACTAAGTTATTCATTTATTTCACATAGTTAAGATTAGAAAGCTTATTGTTCAGGGCTGGCCCCGTGGCTCACTTGGGAGAGTGCGGCGTTGGGAGCGCCTAGGCCACGGGTTCAGACCCTATATAGGGATGGCCAGTGCTCTCACTGGATGAGCATGGTGCAGACCGCACTGTGCCGAGGGTTGCAATCCCCTTACCGGTCAAAAAAAAAAAGAAAGAAAGCTTATTGTTCAAAGAGGAGAAATGATAGATTGTTTACCAAACTTAATAGGAAAAATTCAAGTTCAAGGCTAAATCATTCTTTATGTCTTAGAAGACATAAATAGCTTGTATTGGAAGGAGAAACTGAACTTACGTAGCTATGTCAAAGTAATATTTAGTAACTTTGAGCAGCAAGATTTGAACTTTTACCAACACTTACCATCTTGTATGTAATAGGCTCTTCATATATGGTTTTTTAGTTGAAATCAACAAAATTGAACTCAATATCCTGAATTTTTTAGTTTTACTTCATTTATAAAACTGTGATACTTTTTAGCAAGTTTGCATAAACTGTGATTTGTATATCTTATAAAACACTTTAGGATAGCATTTATTCTGAATACCCTGGTCATTCTCATGCTTTTTCATCAACCACTTCTGTTTCTGTATGGCATATAGAATGTTGCTTGGTACACACAAGACTCAAATACTTCCTAAAACTAAGAGAATTATCCTACTCAAAGTATATTCAAAGTAGATGACAAAATATCCATACTTCTGAGACAGATGGAATGGCAGTAAAATAATGCAAACCCTATAAAGTATTATCTCACTGTTTAGAGGAAAGGTAAATGGTCAAGAAAACAGTGAATCTGGCTTCTAAAAGATAAGGGCATCACTGTTAATAAGTGGGAAGAGGAGAATGAAAGAAGCTAACTTTCGCTTTGTGTCTTTATAGGGCAGGCACGGTGCCAGGGGCTCTGCCAGTGTTAGCTTACTCAACTTAATCATCATAATTTAAATCTCTGTTTTCCATATTTTACAAGAAAAAAATTGAATTGAAATAGTATTCTGGAAATTATGCAGTTAACAGGAGAAAGCTCCAAGCATGGAATTCAGGTTTTTCTGACTGCCATATACCTACACTTCTCCTGTCACTATTATGTTAGGGAGTACCTGTTGCCCCCACCAAATAAGTATACAAATTCATTCACATAGAAATATGAATAAGAGCTTAAAATAATTTGAAATTCTCAGGGAATAATACTCAAGAAATTAATGTATTTCACGTTGAGAAACAGTTTATAAGTAATACAAATACATCTTCTGAGACTAAAAATTTGGCCTTTTTATGTTTGATTTATGGTTATATCTAAAAGTGAAAATTTATCTCATGTGCTGTACATTTAGAAGTAGTTTACTATAACTTTTTAAGCTAGGTGTTGAGACAACAAATTAATGTTTGGACTGTCTATATTATCACCACTTCAAACACACTAAGCCTAGTTCTCCCATTGCACTTCATGGTACAGCAAAAAAAGGTTAAACTAGGCTACTTCTAACATAGGTCCAGTCTTATTTTCTTGTAATCTTTGTGCTTTCTTACATATTAGTCATGAATTCATGAGCTAAAGAATTGGTCTTACTGTGATTAATGTTCTTATACTAGTCGTATTTACACGACTATAGTCATGCTTTATGTATGGACAAGTCTTTGTCTTGAAAAAGAAAAAAAATTTAAACTTTAAGATAGGCTTATTAATATTTGTGTGTATATTAATTAACAACACAGAAAGGACTGAAACTAATTTGATAACAGTAAAAAATTAGAATTTTAAAAAAATTCAGTGAGTGGATTGAATTTATCAAGCAAACTTATTAAATGACTTGAGGAATTCTTCCCTTTCTTCTGTATATTAATTAACAACACAGAAAGGACTGAAACTAATTTGATAACAGTAAAAAATTAGAATTTAAAAAAAATTCAGTGAGTGGATTGAATTTATCAAGCAAACTTATTAAATGACTTGAGGAATTCTTCCCTTTCTTCTGCTTAAGTATAATAAATTCATTCATGTTTACACATTGTTTTCTTTCAAGTTTTATATTTAGTTGGGTAACCTTTTGTTTGAAACATTATACTAATACTTTCTTCAAACCTGTATACTTGCTTTTTGTGCTGTACAGAGCCAAGAAAATGATGAGCTAAGAGATGCCCATGAAAAACGCAAGGAAAGGCTACAGATGTTACAGACCAACTACAGAGCAGTAAAAGAGCAATTAAAACAGTGGGAAGAAGGCAGTGGCATGTGAGTTACATAGCTCATAAAGGCATTTCCCTAAATATTAAATGGAATGGAGTAGCATTATCTAGGTGTTTTAATGGCTTTTGTTTGGTTTTAAATTATTTGGTAGTCAAATTTTTATTGTGAATTTTTAAATGGAGAATATAACAAATGAAAACAGAAATATGTTAGCAGTAACCTTAGATTTTTCCTGTTATTTGCAGATATCATTAGCAATAGGGAATTCTGAATTGTATACATTTTTAATATCAATGGAAGCTTATTAAAAGTATATAATTTAAAGCAAAAATAGTTAATATCCATATGATTGAAAATCCACTTTTAAATAACTAAAATGCTGGTGTTAAATGTTTATAACTCAAAAAGTATTTGAGTTTTAATGGAAAGACAAGAGAAATATGAAATTCAAATATATAGTTAACCATCTTAAAACTATTTCAACCTAGTATGCAATTTGAAGATCTTTACTATCCATCAGTTTGTTCTCCAGCTTATCTGAATGAATTGGCGGTCTCAGTTCAATTGCTCTGAACAGGTGTTCAGATCTTGGTTAGTTGTAAGTGGCTCCCCTGTTAGCAGTATCAACAGAGGGCAAAGGACTGAATAAGTACAGAAAATCTACTACCCTCTCATCTTTTGAGATGGATCCTTTAGGGCAATGTTGATGATACACATTGGTCCGTTCTGTAGAGAAATACTGTTTCTAAATTGGCCAGTACAGCACTTTTAGAAAATAAAAATGACGAGTTTGTTTTATGTACAGCAAATGAAAATATAAACGGCATTTAGCATCACTTTTAGATAATTGTCACATCTAATTTTTTCCTTTGATGAATAGAGAGTGTTTCACATCACTTTTCAGTGAGGCAGTGATATAGCAATTTGTCCTAAATTTAGCTTCTGCTTACCTAACTTCAGTAATCACTAGAAGAGTGAAATCTACTTTCTGGATATAAATTAAATGGTAATAGCTAGTTTTAAGATAGGGTGTCTATATCACATTCAAATTGGTTGGCACCAAATTCTAGGTGAGTTGATTGCTTACAGTCTTTTTTTGGAGATCATTCCAATTCTACAGTGTGTTTTTTACTTCTAGAATGAATGACTAAGAAAATCATGTATCTGCTTAAAAGTTTGCTTTTCATAGTCGCAGTTTAGCTTTAGGATATTATGATACAGGGTTTTAATTTCTACATGCTTAGGTTTTAGGAAATTCATCCAATAAGTAGTAAGCTTGAAATAGAAATTTAATCAATAGATATTTTTAAATTTTAGGGAATGTATAAATTCATTTTTATTGTACTTTGAACATGTTAAGCAAAAAAACAACTTCATTTTTAAAATAGGACTGAAATGAGAAAAATAAAGAGAGCAGATCCCCAACAACTTTGTCAAGAAGATTCTGATGCTGTATGGAATGAACTGGCATATTTCAAAAGGGAGAACCAGGAGCTAATGATTCAAAAGTGAGTTTCTTTCTTAACAATATGGACTTAAAAAACATTTGGGAGAAATTTTTTGTGGCTTAAAGGCCATTGGAGAAATACCTTATAAAATTTGAAAATGAAATAATCCGGGTTTTTGCCAATAAAAGTAAAGAAAAGTAAGACTAGCTTTTAAAATATATGTATGTGTTATGCAATAACAAGTTGCACATTTGCTAGCTCTAACAGAAACTGTATAATATGATCTAGGGATTGTGTTAATTAATGTGGCTCTCATCTGTTGGAGGTGTCGCTCTTCATTAGCCTGTATTTTAGACACTGCCGTGCTTCATTTTTGGAATGAGGTGGAGAGGGGATAACCTAGCCAGCCATCCTTGTTTGATCTCCTAGATACATACGCAATGCAGAATGCCTGAGCTCTCTTGGTTCCTTGCCCTGTCCTGCTAATCCCAGCTGAGCTCATTATGGTGTAGCCTTGCTGCTACTCTTGGAGCCAGAGCTGTCCAAGCTAATTACTAGTAGCAGCAGAACTGCCTGTTAAGGGTCTGGTGTGGATCTGCTAACATGGTCCTTGGTAGTGACCTGCAAAAGACACGAGGGAATTGCTTTCTTTCTTGCTGTGCACTGCCTGTCCTTTGGGCTTAATGCTGATCCTTCCACATAGGTCTTTTAGCTGCCCTAAGTATAAAACTTGATGAAGGATACTCATATTTTAGAAAACATACAGTTTGCTTGCTTGATCTTATAATTCACAGGCTATTATATTCAGCCTGGCAAGAAAAGAACGCTTCTTTTTTTTGAGACAAAAAGGAGTTAGACCAATGTAATTAGCCTCTTTTGCTGCTTAACTATTTCTTCATTTAGAGTTAATTTTTGACTCTCAGACCAATTTTTTTAAAGCCTGAATGTCTTTTAGATGGCTAGATTTTAGCATCATGTGGCATAGTGTAGTTAAATGTCACTGAATTTTCTTAGCCGTTAGCCTCTTTTGCTGCTTAACTATTTCTTCATTTAGAGTTAATTTTTGACTCTCAGACCAAACAATTTTTTTAAAGCCTGAATGTCTTTTAGATGGCTAGATTTTAGCATCATGTGGCATAGTGTAGTTAAATGTCACTGAATTTTCTTAGCCATAAATCAGAAGCTTATTTTATATACTCTGTAACTTTTGATTACAACCTTTTCCATGTTAAGACAAACTTTTGAGGAAACGACCACATTAGATTTAAATATATACTTTCATTTACCTCTTAAAGTGCAATATACTCTACAATGCTGAATATTTGATACTGCTAATGAAGTCTCTTATCTTGAAAATTATCTTAAAGGCTCACAGATTTGTCCCAGAAACATTTCCTGATAATTTTAATAGCTTTATTGAAATAAAATTCACAGGCTATACAATTCACCCATATGAAGTGTATGTCATTAGCCATTAGTATATTCAGAGAGTTGTGCATTATGCCTTATCACAATCAGTTTTAGAACATTTTCAAAGAATGTTTTCATCACCCCACCCAAAGAAAAACCACACAACTTAGCTCTTACCCCCACAGTCCTCCTATCTACCCTACTAGTCTGCTTTCTGTGTCTACAGATCTGCCTGTTCTGGACATATCATGTAAATGAGATCATGTAAGATGTGGTCCTTTGTGACCAGCTTCTTTCACTTAGCATAATGTTTTCAAGGTTCATCCATGTTGTAGCATGTATTATTACTTTCTCTGGTAATCTTTAATGATCTTTCTGTCTCAAAAAAAAAAGTTAATTTTGGACAAAGTGAATTGGGTGAATCTACTTGAGAAAATTTAGGTAGAGGTTTAGGTATAAATGACACATTTGGGGTTTATTTTATTCATTAATGAAACAGAATTAAAGAAAAGGTTATAAGGCCTTTTAAAGAAAGTTAGGGAACTCTAGAATCCTGTTCGATTCACTCAGCAGTATTTGTATGTTACAAATAGCTCTTTGAATTAAGTACTGAGTCATTTTTAAAGTGTGGCATTTTTTTTTTCTAAAATCTGTTTTAATTCATTAATATGATAGCCATTTGTAAAATACTGATTTTCACATCAGTCTTATTAAAAGGCAATCAATTTTTTTTTCATAAAGAACTGCCATAAGGAAGAATGAAATTCTGTCATTTACAGCAAAATGGATGAGCTTAGAGAAAATTATGTTGAGTGAAATAAAACAGGCCCAGAGGAAAAAATACTGCACGTCCTCACTCATAAGTGGGAGCTAAGAAGGAAAGAAGGAAGGAAAGAAAGACTACAGTTGCATGTTGGACTTGCAGAGGGAGAGATCATACCTAGGATTGTGGAGTGGGGTGAGGGAGGGAGGAGGGGGAAGCAGGTTGGGGATTAACTGGATGGGGGACAGAGGGAATAATCCCAATTTGTGGTAGTGGTCCTGCTGATAGATAGTATTGATCTGATCATCACATCTTGGGCACAAGATGGTCAGCTTTGTACCCCATGAATATGCATAACCAGTGGGGGAAAAAAAGGATGGTAAAGAATTGAATAAACTTTAAATCAGGTGGTAAAAGTGTTTTGGGGGAGGGTTGGGTTATTTTTTATTTTTATTTTTTTTTTATTTTTATTTTT